TCATCTCCTCCCAGCTATTTAGCACAGACAATAAACTTACATCGTTATTTCTACCACAGGAAGCTCGGATATCGACTCTGCTGAATCAAGAGCATACATTCATATTCACATCATCCATATACACTTTGCTTGAGAATGCTTTCTTTAGCCTTTTTGGGAGCCTTTGATTTTCCCTTCTTCGTCTCTGTCGGGCTTTCACTATCCATTGAAGTGATCCAAAAATTAAATTTCCAAAAAAAAAAAAAAATTTCAGGTTGTTTCGTCTCTTCTTCTAGGTTTCCTGAAAAAGAATCAAATCGGCAAAATTCGAAGCCGCCGGAGCTTCGAAGGTTTGAGAGCTGAGCTGATCAACTGATCAAGGAAGGAAGATGGGGAAGAAGAAGCGGAGAGAGCTAGTGTTCGCAGTTGGATGGGAGGTTCGATAGCCTGTAATCGTCTGCGGGGGCAATCCATGGTTGTGACGGGGCCAAAGATGGTTGGGTTTCAAGGTACTCGAGTCTGGACGGACGAGATTAACGGTTTATGACGGAGGTGTATCGTAAATATTTTATGTGTTACAGTAGCGTAACATTTCCGCTGAAAAAACCAATTTTGTAATTTTCCTGCCAGATTTTGGGGCGGTTGGGAATGTAGTTCTGGGCTGCTAGATCCGGCCCCGAATAGAATGGAACATGGGCTTTTGCTCGATTTAGGCCCTTTTTTTTGGCCCTTTTTTCTTTTGTGTGGTGAAATTCCAAAAGAAGCCCTTGAACTTTTTACTAAGGTACAATTAAGTTCTTATTCGATTAAATTCTCAACTAATGGCCAAAAAAAAGTTGGATTCTCAATTAAGCACTTGAAAGATGTAAAGCATTAAATCCTTTACGAGTTGAAAGAATTGAATGGAAGGTTAAAGAAGATTGAGAGGATTGTTGATCAAAGGAATGGAAGCAAAGATTTGATTATTTGAGAAACAAAAACAGAGTTGGGATTGTACCGTATGACTTTTTGTACCCATTCTCTGGGCCTGGAGTTCCAGGGAAGAGACTTCCTTCTAGCATCTCCATTTGAACTTCAAATACTTGGGGTGATGGTGAAAAATATTTATTAGTCAGAACAATAAAAAATTAAATAAAAAAATTTAAAATTATTTTATTTTAATAAATTTTTATTAGAAAAGACTAAAATATCATAATTTTTAAATATATGAATGAACCGATTTGTTTTTTTCTTGTGATGTTTTATTAAAACAACATAATTTTTGTACAAATCTAACTAACAAATAGTAATATCTTAATAAATCTAATTGGAACCTTGTAATATGCTTTGATGTATTTCGTGTGTCAAAAAATATACTTTATGATATGAAATTATTAACCAGCAGAAGATAGAATACCCCTTTCAAATCAGTCGAATTTATTTGGCCTTTCAACAGTAGAATTCATTAATTCATGGTAATGAAAACACATAAAGGCAGTGCTTAGTGCTCAAGGCAGTCATATAAGCTCAGAAATAGAAAATTCACTCTTAGACATGGAAGTCCTTGAGACAGAATATGCACCATAGACGACTAGGGGAGTGAAAAAACCAATGGATAGAAATCTGAAATTGATGCAAACTCCTCTTTGGCAGTCCACAAAATTATGTGATGACGATGATGATGATGATGATAATGATACGCATTTCTTCCTTTTGGCATGAATACTGGAAGAACTTATCCTTGGACTCAAAGCTCTTAAGTCTTACCCCTGCCATTTGAATCTTCTTGGGCTTTCCTCTATGTCTGCATTCATGTTTCTCTTTCAGGCATAAAAAACATACCCATAAGATCTATAAAATT